ATTAAATATATGGTGTTTTTTTATTACGTGTTATATTTTTGATATTAAACAAATTTTAATATTGGTTAATGTTACTTCTTACGTACCTATTATTATATGTGATGTAGGTAGTGTTCATCATGGTATGATATACATAATAGGATTATATTATACTATCATAGATGCAAATTGGTTTTATTTTTTAGGGGTGCTTTTGTGCTTAAGCCCTAACTATTTATACCTTGAGCTTATATAGTTAAGAGACACTAATAAATTGGGAGGGGGCTAATCCCACAGACCCCCTGCAGTTTGTGCCTATGTATGCTATCCAATTACACATTATTCCTTTATTGGGTGTGGGGTAACTATAAAGCTTAAAAAAATTAACCAATCAGTTTTTAGTTGTTACAAGTTATAACTTGTTTAAAATCAAATATTAATAAATATAATAAAATATAGATAAGTTTATTTGTAAAAATATAATGTCAAAAATAACAATTTTTACTTAAATCATCATACTTTAATCTGAACTCCTCTGAAGGGCTACAATTTGTTATTGAAGTGTAKGCGTTAGCCAACATMCATCAGCCCTTATTGTATCATACTTGTGTAGTATTACAACATTTTTATTTCTATGTTTGAAAGCAACTTAATGAACATTCAGTATAAATATTCATTTTGTGAYGGATCAGTGATCACTGATCAGAGACGTAACTTTATAACAAATCCYGGACAAAAATCGCCCGACGAACAACCCCAGATCACATTATTACTCACGTGAATATGATTCATATAAATATTTTTTACAAATAGGTATATTATATATAATAAATATCATTCAAAAAATAATTTGAAATATTAAAATCATTTTCATATGGTTTTGAGTAATATTTTAGTATGGGAATTTTTTTTCTGTGGTCGTTTACCATTGTTACAAATCATCAACAATGAATAAAAATACTATTAAATATAAATAAATGTCAGATGATAACTGATCAATAATAATATTGATTAATAATTGTAATGTGYAGTGCTTGACCTGGGACAATAATAGAAAGAGAATGCAAAAGTGCAAATAAAAGTGGTTTACCTAGTCCCGAATTTTACAATTTTATTGTCGAGTTAATCACATTGATTAAGTTGGTCGGTTAGTGAAGGCTCTAAATTGTGTTCAACCGAGTATAAAAATAGACACAATAAAACTATCTTTTATTGTACCACAACCTTACAAATTTTTATAAAATTAGTAATTACAATTTACAAGCAATTTCTCACGAGAAGAAATTATTGTATGATCATTTGATGAAAGTCTCCAAAACTGCAGAGCGACAGAGCAAGTAAGATTTGCCAAAGGAAATTTTACATATTATAACGTTTTTAATGGATTTCTCTCTTCTTCATATTTTAAGGGATCAGATAGGTTTGACCTGTTAAATACGTAACAAGTTTGAAGGCTCAGGCTTCTCTTTGAGGAGAGTTTAGACCCATTCATCATGTCCCATATGAATCTGGAAGAATCGATTTTGATTAATTTCAGGTTTTACTATATAGAAATAATCTCTACTCTCGTCATGCAGTCGCCGTGATGAAAAATACGTCGACAACGATTTAACCGATCAGTTATCGAGTAGGCGTACATTATACCTTCATTGGAACAAAAAGTGTTCAGTAAATCGTCGGAAAACCGCAATGTTTCCCAGTCGTGGAGTGATGAAAAGTGCATTTCCGACATGGATTTGCGGACGAGAGTAAACGGTATTCGCCGTACAGCGACATCAGGTGAATCGCAGCGGAACTAAAATCGTAAGTGGTTAAAAAGTAAATCATTAAATCAACTAAAAAGAGAAATAATGTGAAAATAATCAAGGTGGATACCTTGAATATCCACCTTGAAAATATTACGTTATCATTATTTTGTGGTTATGTAATTAAACTTGCTTAAAAATTTAAATGTTTACTGATACTCTAGTCTTGAAAAGTTGAATTAATGTCTAATGATAATAGTCAATAGTTATAACTCATAATATTATGTAYCATCATGAATGTAGGTTCAAGCTCATAAATTTTATAATTTATGGTATCTGAATGTTGCCTACAATTTATAAAAACAAAATGCATACTTAGTCTTTTTAGTCTTTTCCTGCAGTCGTTCTTGAAGTAGGAACATGATACAACATAATAAAATAATTAACACTATTGATTAGTTTTCATATCGAATAGTATTATTTGCTGTRCTACKACTAACGGCCATAATATTCTCAACGGACAATTATTTTTCATTACGCAGTCCTTATCGCATTTGGTTTGTTCAATTAGTTATTTAGTCATTACACCGACCTTGGACGGAAATCGGGATTCCGGATTTTWGTTTCAAGCTTCAACTGTGTACTGAAAATTAACGTACAAACTACAATTTGTGGACCTTATTGAAATGAATTAATATAGTAACGTAAACGATTGGAAATAAAATTGGTTGCAATGATAATTCAGGTAATTTCAATCGGTTCTTCAAAATGCAATAAATGTCTTTAATTAAAATAGCGAAAATTGTTTGTTTTTTTTTTTTATAGACATTTGCCAGAGGCATTGGAACGAAATTAAAATTACCTGTCATTCATGTTTACTACAAAACCCTTTCAACTAAGAGCAGRGATACGTCGTTATGTGTTAACCAATCAATATCTACTAATACAAACATAGCACGATGTTGTTCAGTGGACAGCAAGGTCCTCGTTACTGAACAGACCAAACCTGTGAACCTACCAAAGAATATAGTCATCAGCACGATTAAACCATACTTAGAACTTATGCGATTCTCTAAACCCACTGGTTTGAAAATTAAACCTTTTGAACATAACATATTTTGACTCTTCATTGGTTTTCAGGATGGTTGCTTTTATATTGGCCATGCACGTGGAGTATTGCTTTAGCTTCAACTGCAGGTGAACTTCCCAACTTTGAAATGCTTGGTTTGTTTGGTCTGGGAGCAGTCATGATGAGAGGAGCTGGTTGTACAATAAATGATATGTGGGATAAAGATATTGATAAAAATGTAAGTTATTAACTTACATAATGTACCTAAGTATAAAAAAATAGTTTAGAATACTCAAATGTCTCTAATGTAAATTAAACTTAACTAATAATTTTATTCTAAAATATTAAAATAGGTTTCCTAATAGAAATACATTTTTCTCATGTAACTAGATTAAAGTGTGAAATACACTAAGATATTAAATGAGAACATTAATATTTTTCTACTATTGATTAAAAGTTATATTCTCTTATTTTCTGTTTAAAAAAAAATAATATTTCCTGAATATTTATCAAAGGTACTTTTTTATTTTGTTTTCATAACATATTTAAATTTACTTAACTTGTATAAAGTTTTAGGAACTTACTTGCATACTTGACGTATTGTACACAACTTCATAAGTACTTTTAAGTATTTCATTCCACTGTACACAATTATGTATTAAATATAATTGTTTTATATTTTGTACATATAATATTTAAAATGTTGATCATATATAATTTAAGTAAGCATTTTTTTAGTAAGTGGAAATTTTTAGGTTGAAAGAACAAAAAATCGACCTCTTGTCATTAAATCGTTAAGCATGTTTGATGCATGGGTGTTCTTAGCTGGTCAGTTGGGTCTCAGTCTTATCGTTTTGTTGCAGTTAAATTTGTATACTATTGTGGTTGGAGCTAGTTCATTAGGTAAGCTTAATTTGTCTCATTATTAGTTTTTGCTACAGTTCGTATTAAACTCATTCTATTACATTTCAGTAGAATATTATAACAATAGTAAATTATAAAATTTAAATGTAAGAAGACATTTTTSTAATTATATTCTTAATTCTGTATTATAATTTATCAGATTCATATTTCTTTATGTTTAAATTGTATTTATGATAAACGTAATCACTAAATGATAAAAAATGACAATTATAATAATCTATACATTTTTCTTGATCGTTTAATGTATTTTATAGTAACAAAGGCATTGAAATATTGCATTTTGTACAGTTTCTATGATAATTGTGCATGTTAATAATTATGAACTTTTGAATATATTATAAATTATAATTAGACACTATTAAGCAGATATAAAATTTTTAAAGAAACTTATCTTTCATTTTTGATGGCAAATTATACTGTGGATAAACTTAACAAGAGCACATTATATTAGCAAAATTTTAAAATAAAACGGTATTAGACATTTGTTATTTAAATATATTTTAGGAAATTAAATTTCAGATAAAGTAACATCTTGTTTAGTACAGCCTATAATGCATTCATATTATATGCATATTTTATTTCCAACGATTAGGAATTAATTTWAAAAAAAGTACTTTTATGTATTGCTTTAAGTTTAAATACTTGCTGAATCTTGTAAAACAAATTTTAATACCACTGTTTAAATTTGTTTGTTTCAGTATTAGTTACATTATATCCACTTATGAAACGGATAACATATTGGCCACAATTTGTATTGGGCCTAACTTTTAATTGGGGTGCTCTACTAGGGTGGTCTGCTATTCACTCTTCGATTGATTTTTCTGCCTGTCTTCCTTTGTATGCAGCTGGTGTTGCGTGGACACTTTTCTATGATACCATTTATGGTCTTCAAGTGATTATTTATTTAATGCGTATATTTTTTGTGTAATAAAAACTAATAATTGTTACATTATTATACAGGACAGAAAAGATGATAACAAGCATAATATTTACTCTACCGCAGTCTTGTTTGGTTCAAAATCAAAATTTTGGTTGACATCTTTTGCGACAATGTCATTAAGTAGTTTAGTCACTTGTGGTGTTAATACTGGACAAACATGGCCCTACTATTTAGCAGTTGGAGCTGTAAGTGCTCATATGTTTAATCAAGTGAGTTAAATATGATAAATAAAAWTTTTTAAATATTTAAAAATTGTATTATGTAAATAGGTACGCACATTGGATATATACAACCCTAAAGATTGCGGTGATAAGTTTGTGTCCAATAACCACGTTGGTTGGATCATGTTTTTAGGAATAGCATTAAGCACTTTATTAAAAAAATCTGATGAAAATGAAAATATGAATTTAATATCTGACTAATAAAGTGGTTAAGTTATTCACTTTTTCGTTACCACAGTATGACAAAAATGAATTGTTATTTTTAAATTATTTGGTTACATAGGGGTTACTATGCTTGCTTTTACTATTTCATTTTACTTTGTAAAATATTGTTAAAATGTTGTGTATTTCATTTAAGTTCCTATAAAATCAAAAGGAAAATAAAGAAACTAGTCACAATTATAAATCATTATGTTTTATTACATTTATTTTTCATTTATTTATACCTAAGCCTATACACATTACACAATAAATAGTAAACCTCAATTTTCAATTCCTTTTTCTCTGTCTGATCTCATTTCTGCTAACATCCTTTGTCTCACTAAAGCTTGATGCTTTCTTGCTTCTTCATTATTTTTTTGGCGCTTGGCTTGTCGCTAAAAAATTTAATGTTTACAATTAAATAGTAAAATATTTAAAATAATGTTGGATGTCAATGAATAATTATTAAATTACTTCATTAATATCATCAATTTAAAACCATAATAAAAATAATCATTTTTTTTATAACAATTATATATGTATATTATATACACAATTATTTATTAAAAGTAAAATTTCTTATGCTACCTATAATGAATACCTAATAATATATTCTACAAGTTCAACACTAATTACAAAATTATTAAAATACATATTTTAATCTATATTTTGTAAACAATTATGACACTATTATAGGAATATAAGAAGGAATGAACAACATAACATATTTACTAGTAAGCTTATAAAACTATTAAATTAGTTTTGGTTGTCTAGCGCCCAACATAAATCAAACTTTATCATAATTGTTTCAATATACCTATACTTAAAACAGTTAACACTAACATMAAGTATTTATTTATTATCTTGATTATTGATTGTAAGATCTGCTAGATAATTATAAACTATTTCTTACCTCTAAATGAAAACAGTGGACCATTCGATCATAGATTTTATCACATCTGCCAACAAATCTTAAAACTTTATGCTGAAAATTAAACTCAATWAATTAAATTTCATAACTAAGCATAACTATTCATGTAAAAAGTTTTTTACCTCTACATTACAGTTTTTAAATTCCATGGTATATTTATTACATTCTTCAGTGTGCAAATGTGGCGACAAATCGGGATGCATACTTYAGAGTTAAATAATTTTTAGTAATATTATAATGATTAAAGAATACAAAGATGGACAAAATTGAATTTATCTGTATTGTATATATTTACAATTCTGCGAGATGAAGATTCAACACATGTTTAACATTATTCAKTATTGACACTATTGACAGTAATGTTGTATACTAGTATACTTCAATACTTGTATTCTAAAATTTTAAAATTTTTAATCATACGAAAATAAATTCATTTATTCGCCAAAAACATGATAAGAGATTACACAATTCACTGCAATCACGGTCTTAGACATAGACATAATATTAATATGTTTATGGATTATCAGCAGCTGTGAGACATCGCCTCTTATCATTTCTAAGATTATCAATAACACGCTATCACGATAGTTGGCATATTATCACATAATCGTAAATCGTTTAATTATTTTTTATAGTAATTACCACGGCTATATAAGATAATTATTATTGTATTTTATTATTATTTATTATTGTTATTGTATACATATATCTGTGGTAATTACATTTAAATATTTATGCAGTATATGAAATCCCATGGAAAATGACGAAATTTATATGAAAATGCCTGCTACTCAGTGCTACACAACAGCTTACAATACCATCCACTGAATGCATTGCTAATAAAATTCAGCAATTGTATTTGTATAATATGTTGTGTCACAAGCAGGTACACTCAATGATCAAAAACTCCAAAACATAAATACAGCTGTAGATTCAAGTTTAAAAGTTCTATGCCAACAAGAACGCTGCGTGGTACATATTATGTATAACATTAATTGTTGATTAATCGTTAATTAACCTTACTATCTTTTTTTTTTTCTAAACGTAATCTTGTTATAAAAGTCAAAAGTCAAAACTGTAAATACTATCTCTAGATAGCCTATACTGTAGGCTAGGAATGTCTCATAAAAAAAAATAAAAAATAAAAAAACAAGAACGCGAATTCATAAAAAAGGTGTAGGGAATTTTGAACCATCCAACAAAAATGTAGACAAACAGCTTTTATTCCATAAAAAAAACCAATTACGAAACCACTGGAAGATAATTATAGACTAAACAAATCAATAATAAAAGTTATAAACCAAATAAAAATTGATCAAAAGGCAATGAAGATATCCCATACATTAATATTGACCCTCATTTTGAACATTTATATAGACAATATGATCAGAAGAAGAAATTAATTTTATTATTAGGTATTGTATTTCGTTGTATTTTATAAATGTATATTTAGATTTTTAATTTAGATTCGTTCATATTCCTATTGGTATAATACTATTCATGAGTTATAAAAAACAAAGTTTATAAAACACTTGGATTTTTTTCTAATAGGTACCTACATAATTTTTTAAAGGTATCAATTCCGTGTATGTTACTTATGACTAGGGCCCTGAAGTTTATGCACTAAAAACTAACGAAATATGTATGCACTTATGCGCTTAAAAATCCTGATATATGCRYTTAAATA